TGTGATTTCTTCTTCTCTTGGTTTAAATCTCTGTACAAACACTTCACTACTTTCTGACGAATGAGCAGCTTTATTCATGTTGCATTTTCGGGTGTGGAGCATCAGAATGTTTATGGCCAGGATCAACATAACATATTTTGCTGGATGATGAACTGTCACAGTCATCATTGTGCTAAAAGAAAATGTTGTTCTGAGGCCATTTTCAAATAATGTAAAAAAAATGCAGAATAGTTCAAGTTTGGCTTCTCAGAAACCAATAAACTTTCATTTAGTAAAGAACACACAAGAGTAGAACTGAAATATATTTGAAATATCCCAAATAAAATAACCAAAAGCAGTAAATAAAAGGGAAGTAAAATCCATTTACAGCAGAAAGTACAAAAGAAATTGCGCTTCAAACAATATGATTCTTCAGAATGGAAATTATGGATTTAACTTTAATTCATCATGATATATATATATATATATATATATATATATATATATATATATATATATATATATATATATATATATATATTTTTTTTTTTTTTTTTTTTTTTTTTTTTTTTTTGACAAAACTGCATAGGAAGTCTCGTCTGCAACAGAGCGTTATTGAAGTCAACAGCATGTACTCCTGATCATCTTTAGTTAGTGAACAGTTTGTTAATGTGTGAATCACTGAAAGAGGAACAGGAGAACAGGAGAAAATAAATTTATTGTTTTCAATTTGATCTGCCAGTATCTGCTGAAGATGGCTGATACTGATTTATGACAGTGATCGGTGCATGTTTAGTTAAATATCAGAAATTTGTTAAAAAAACAATAAATAAATAAAAAAATACCTGCTTTGATATTACATTAAATAATTTAAATTATACAGTGGGCCCTCGACTTCCAGTCATCAGCTGATTTGCAAACCTGGTCCCTGTTTTGTTTTTTTAAAATAAAAGACTTAAACCATTTCCCAGAATTTCCTCCCAGATTATAGTGTTAAAATTTGTAACACTATAATCTCTCTCCCTCTTTCTCTTTCTCTCTCTCTTTTTTTACATGAAAAAGTCCAGAGGGGAACCTTTGCATTCAAATGTTTCCGGTACACTTCTAAATCTGACGCACAGGCAACATCTGTAAACAACAGTGATTGATGATAAACATGCTTTATTTGGTTCCTTTGGAGGTTAATTATTGCTTCAAAAACCGATCTGATTGGACACTGGAAACGATTATTGATGTGTTCAAGTTGTGCTGAAAGGAGTTAGCCTACCTTTTGTCTTCCTCCTTGTTTTTTGCTCATAAATATCACACGCTTGCAAGCATAGGTATTCAGGGCAAAAGTAGCATTTCAATGGTAAATATGTAGCAGCAGCACATATGTCCCAAATGCTAATGTTAGTGTCCATAGTTCAAATATGAAGAAGTTCCATGTGTTTCAGGATCAGGAGTTCCTGAAACACTGGAAAGTTGTATGTCTTGAATAACACTTTGCTCCAGAATAACAGAAACAATAAATATTATTTTTAATACGTTTACTTACTCTGTTTTAGCAACAAAAATGTTTTTTGAATTGAAAATGTTCCTTATTTGTCATTATATTCTTTGAGAAAAACTGTGATGAATTTGACTGAAGTAAACTCAATGGGAAATTTTAAGTCAGACCCTCCACTATTCCTGACACTATTTTACTGAATTGCATATTTTTATCTCTCAAAATCAAAACAACAAAACCTCAACTTCTACTGTATTTCCATAAATGTGTGTTTATAGGCAAGTCATGTAGTAGTTTGATTATGTTCTGTCAGCCTGCATTATCTCTGTCAGATTAATAAAACTAAAATAACACGTTGCAATGTGGGGCTGAGTGCTTTATACAGAGACTCACAGAAATAAGGTAAAAAGTTTGAGCTTCACGATGCTGCAAACACCTTCCACATTTAAACTGAGGACGACTGGGAATGAAACCATCAGTTCTCTAACTGACACATGTTCTACCTTCACAGCTGTGAATGTAGCAGAATACAATTATATACTTAATAAAATGACAAAATATTCCAGAGTGCGTCAAAAAGAATAAGTCAAATGCCACAGCTCTATTATAAATTTTAATACATAACTTGTGACTCATACTTACTTATCTTAACAAACGATTTTAAATCCAGGCCAAAGTTTATCATACTTTTGACTTCCTCCTTGTTTTTTGCTCTTAAATATCACACACTTGCAAGAACGCAGATGTCTGCACAAACATAAATAAACCCATGCTTTGTTCTCATCACACAAACGTAGCTCGTTGGAGCTGCACTGTGAGTGTTAAAGGTGATTCCTCAGTGATGTTTGTCCTCAGCTGGAGCGCCGAGCCGCTGCGTTCCACTGTTTCCTCAGTCACAGTGTTATTCTCTTAAACAGCTGTCGTTTTGGCTGATGCAGAACAGATGGCATGTACATGAGGGTCTCCTCCGCTGCACGTATGTGCAGGCGGCGGATGTGTCTTTGAGACAGAAGGCGAGAGAGAGAGAGAGAGAGAAAGAGAGCTCCTGAACAGGGTGAAGCATGAAAACACAGTAATCTGTGTATTGTCTACACCAGTGTTGATAATGCAGCAGAAATGGATCATTGCTGTTTTGAGTAAGCTGTATTTCAATGCCATAAAAGAAAATTTACATAAATGCATCCAAGCGATCATGTGTCATGTGACCCAACAATTTTTTAGAAGCTGTTCATAGTGGCTTGTTTAACGCCTCTCAGATGGATCCTCATTGTGAGACTGAATGCTGGAACAGATTGCATGTTCAACAGAGAAACTGAATGCTTGCCTGGAGGCAAAAAGTTGCTACAGTACAACACATGTACAACTGGTGTGTGTGTGAGAGAGAGACTCTGGGGCTCTGGGATATCTGTCTGTGTATGCATCTGTTTATCTCACGGCACTGTTGTATCATCGCCGATGACAACGGAGGACCTGACAATGACAAAGGCACGTCTATGTTTTGTTGCTCATGCAGCATCAGCTCATGTTCAACCCGGCACAACCTGATAGACGCTAGCTGGCAGCCTGCACCGCTGCACTGTGTTCACACATCCGGAGTCAGACTAGAACCATTTGAAAATCCTGAGTGAAACAACCATAATGTGGAATGTTCAATTTATGTTAGTAGAAGAAAAATCTATATCTGTTGTTTCGAAAAATAATTTTACAGTTTTGTATATCTCCCACTATTTTATTTTCTGGCTGCACTCCCAGCAGAATGATTTAAATGCAAGTAAATGCAAGACATGTCCATCAAGTGCAGCATATGGAAGCAATATACACCTATGCTTCAGTAGGTTCACAGTTATCCTCTTTTCACCACAGACATAACAGATGCAAATAAGTGAAAAAACATTTTTTTGAATACTGTTTTTATCATTTAATTTCCCACTTTTATCAAAACTTTAAGAACATCTCACTGGAGGACTCTCGTGAGAGCAACATTTCAAAACCAATGCGATGCTGCAGATTGTAAAATAGTGGAATGATGTGTACATTTTAAATTCATTCATTTACAAATGTGAGATGAGATGAGCAAATGATGAATTATAATTTTGAATGTTTTATTTATTTTGTCAAGACAGCAATTGTCACATTTTTTTTTCTCCAGCATGAACATTTCTATCTGCTTTCAGCATATGGATTTTTTTACCCATTTAACCTAACCCAAGCATCTCTGGTCTGCCAGAATGGCAAGCAATTCACTATAAAAAAGCTATAATTGACAGTAATATTAGTAAATATAGGCAGGTTTTTTCCACTAAGCCTGTGCTTACAGCGTCAGGTAAATGTGGATAAACTGTATCAACACATAGAGATGCTTGGCGCTCTGAAGTTCTCCTTGGAGCTATTCTGGTTTTGCTTCTCTGCTCAGAGTTAGAAACAAGTACAACCTCTGGTTCATATTTAACACCCACAGAAAGCATTGTGGAAGCTCCCTTCCATGTATACATATACGGTTAGATGAATGATGACAGGAGCCACTGATCGTCACAAACCCACCGGTTCCACATGCCCATCTTTTTGCTTTTTTGCTAAGAAGAAGAAGAAATACTTCTTCAAAGTGCTAAATCATACAGAGGTTTAAGTATGAATGTTACTATGTTTGTTTGGTTTCTCCTTATTGCATGAGCATAAATCATTTCTCATCTGATGCTGTTTATGACTTTTATACCCCTAACAACAAAACTGAACATCCAGAGATTTACCAAGATGCGAGGCTGTGATTTGTCTTGATACTTATTTTTCTCTGTGCGATTTCCATTGTAATATTCTTAAACTAGAGGGATTTGAATATAAATTGAAAGCTTCAAGCCCTCTCCCTGAAGCTAAACTGTAAATAATAACCTAAAGTTTCTTTTTTTCTAATCTTTGGTAATTGAAGCAAATGGGTTTTACAGGGAGAGATTTGTCTTAGGCAAACATACATACATTTTTTTTTTATGTATATATATTATTATTTACGAGGAGGCGAAGGCTGAGCAGTGTAATGAGTGAAAATGCATGCTTAATTTAAATGGCGAGTGTGTCTGTTATGGAATGCATTAGAGTCTGCAGAAGAAGCGTAAGACATATTAATTGACAGACAGGAACCGCTGTCTCCGAGGTTGATACAAGTAATTTATTACTTCAGAAACGAATGTCACTGCCAGAATGTGCTTCATTAATTTCAAATTTAGTTTTAATTTCAAGCTGTTGCCCCTTGAGAAGAATAAGGTGGCAAGTTATGTTTGAGAAGACATTTTTTCACTCTCCTACATTTCATCATTCTTTTTTTATCCCTCAGTTTCTCTGTCTTTATTCCTTTTCACCAGTTTATTTTGTGTAATACAGAATTCAGGGGTTGGGGATTGCAGAGCAGGGGAGTGATATTCTAAATATTGGAAAATAATGTCTGTGTAAAAGTGTATCAAAATAAATACTTAGAAAATTTGTATTTTTAGGAAGATCCTAACAAAGTTCTGTATTTGTTTTGCTCTCTTTGTCTGAACAGCTTATGTCCCCGACGATGAGAAAGAAGTAGCCTTGTTGGACGAGGACCTTGATGGAGAAGACTCTGCTCAAGAAGGGGAGGAGCCTGCAACCAAGCTCCTATGTCAGGACAAGGATTTCCTTTTCAAGGACAGGCCAGAATCCACTGGGATTCATGACTCCCCTAATGCGGCAGACTTTTCTGGTCAGGACCTGGACAGTGAGTCTCACTTGAGTGAGTCCTCAGACAGAATGTCTGATTTTGAAAGCTCCTCATTGAAAAACGAGGATGACGTCCTTCTTTCTAAAGACCTTTCCAACGAATTGTCCCCCTCCTCCTCTTCAGCCGTCATGGCTGCAACCAATGCTGCCGCCTCGGTAACCGGAGATGAGGCAATATTGGCTGCAACAAGTTCTGTGGCTGACAGCCTCGAGAAAATGAAGGCGATTTACACTTCCTTCCTGAGCAATTCCTATTGGTCGACACTGAATCTGAACTTGAGTCAGCCGCCAGCAGAAAAGCCCCCTCGTAGTCACAGCAGTAGCAGTAGCAGCAGCAGCAGCAGCAGCTGTGGTAGCGGAGGCTATGACTGGCACCAGTCTGCTGTGGCTAAAAGTCTCCAGCAGGCTTCCCAGAACCACCACAACAGACTGAGCATGGTGCAACATCCCACAGTGGCGGTAACAACAGCTTCTACAGAACCTAACCTCTTCAGCACTGTTCAGCTGTACCGGCAGAGCTCCAAGCTCTACGGCTCCATATTCACTGGTGCCAGCAAATTTCGCTGTAAGGACTGCAGTGCTGCGTACGACACTCTGGTGGAGCTCACAGTGCACATGAATGAGACGGGCCACTATCGTGATGATAACCATGAGACAGACAGCGAGGGGGCTAAGCGCTGGTCCAAACCCAGGAAACGCTCCCTCCTAGAGATGGAAGGTAAGGAAGATGCACAAAAAGTACTTAAGTGTATGTACTGTGGACACTCCTTTGAATCCCTTCAGGATCTCAGCGTCCACATGATCAAGACAAAACACTACCAGAAAGTGCCTCTGAAAGAACCTGTTACACCCGTAGCCGCCAAGATCATTTCCTCTGCTCGAAAAAGGGCCCCAGTTGACCTGGATATCCCTAGTTCACCCGATTCTAATGGAGGCACCACACCGAAGCCAGCCTCATTCAGTGACACTAATGACATTCTGCAGAAGATTAGCAACCCGTACATTACACCTAACAATCGCTATGGACACCAAAATGGTGCCAGCTACGCCTGGCAGTTTGAATCCAGGAAGTCACAAATCCTCAAATGCATGGAGTGTGGCAGCTCACATGACTCACTGCAGGAACTAACTGCTCATATGATGGTGACAGGGCACTTTATTAAGGTTACCAATTCTGCCATAAAGAAGGGCAAACCAATTATAGAGTCCCAGGTCCCACCATCAAACTCTTCAGTTGAAGAAAAGGTCCAGTCAGTTCCCTTGGCTGCCACAACGTTCTCCTCTCCACCCGCCCCTGTGCCTCCTCCAACTAGCATCTCACCAATGGCAATGGTTGTGGAAATTAAAAAAGAGGAGAAGGAAGAAGAATGCACCCAAGAGTCCAACATTATCAATGCCAATAACCACAACAAAGATAAGAGGACAGAAGTAGAAGACGAATCTGAAGAGAAGTTTGATATTTCTTCAAAGTACACCTATCTGACCGAAGAAGACCTGGACGAAAGTCCAAAGGGGGGACTTGACATTCTCAAGTCCTTGGAGAACACAGTGACCTCAGCCATCAACAAAGCCCAGAATGGTGCTCCCAGTTGGGGTGGGTACCCCAGCATCCATGCAGCCTACCAGCTTCCAAATATAATGAAGCTCTCTCTTGGCAATTCTGGAAAGAGCTCTCCCCTTAAATATATGTTTAGTGGTGGGGAGATTCTCTCCCCTACTGGCAAAAGTCAGCCACTGATTTCCCCTCCCAGCTGCCAAACCTCTCCACTACCTAAAAATAACTTTCAAGCAATGGAAGAGCTAGTTAAAAAAGTGACAGAGAAAGTTGCTAAGGTAGAGGAGAAAATGAGAGACCCCGGTATGATTGCGGGTGATTTACCTCTGAGGCGAACGACGCCCTCTCCCTGTGTCAGTGAAACAGAAGATCTAATCCGAGGAGAGTCGCCCAAAAGAAACACTGCAGAAGACTGTAAAACCCCAGAAAATACAAGTGTAGGGGAGGTAGAACAAGATGGAAAGGGAACGAATGAAAAAGATTCCAGTAGCAGTGCTTCCACAAAGGAGTCTGGGGAGAATGGAGTGGAGCCCACTGCTGTAACACCCCCACTGCCTGCCTCTCTGTGTGGCAGCACGGCTATTATCACAGACCATCCACCTCCCGAACAGCCGTTTGTCAACCCTCTCAGCGCTCTGCAGTCAGTAATGAACGTCCACCTGGGGAAGGCTGCTAAACCTGCCCTGCCCTCGCTTGACCCCATGAGCATGTTGTTCAAGATGAGCAACAGTCTGGCAGAAAAAGCAGCAGTGGCTTCCTCCACCCCACCAGCACACACCAAAAAAGCCAGTAATGGTCATTTAGATCGCTACTTCTACCAGCAACATTTCAACAACGACCAACCTATAGATCTCACTAAAGGGAAAAATGCTGATAAAGGAAGTAATGGTGGTTCTTTGGGTTCAACTACACTTTCTTCTACTAACTCCACCCCATCAATTTCTCCCTCTTCTGCTGTCACTATGACAAAGGCCTCCGCTACGGTAGCTTCCTTCATGTCCACGTCACCTTTGAGAGAAAATGCCCTGTCAGACATTTCCGACATGCTGAGAAACCTCACAGAAAGCCAAGCTCTGTCCAAGTCCTCCACACCGACCAGTCAGTCTGAGCGCTCTGACATCGAAGGTGCCACACAAGAGGAAATCGAAGATGTTTCACCTGCTCAGAAGCGCAAAGGCCGCCAATCCAATTGGAACCCTCAACACCTCCTTATATTACAAGCCCAGTTTGCTTCCAGCTTGAGGCAAACAAATGATGGCAAATACATGATGTCTGACCTGAGCCCACAGGACAGGATGCACATCTCCCGTTTCACAGGTCTGTCAATGACTACAATATCCCACTGGCTGGCCAATGTGAAGTATCAGCTGAGAAGAACTGGTGGCACCAAGTTCTTAAAAAATTTGGATTCGGGCCACCCAGTGTTCTTCTGCAGTGACTGCGCATCCCAGATTCGCTCACCGTCCACTTACATCAGTCACCTGGAATCCCACTTAGGCTTCCGTCTTCGCGACCTGGCAAAACTTTCCGGGGAGCAGTTGCTCAGTCAATTATCGCAGCAACACCATCACCAACATCAACGCCACACCAAAGGACTTTCTGAAAAACTCTTCTCCAATCTCCACCTATCCAGCCACCCGCTGCCATCCTCCCTCCCAACCTCTGTACCAGTATCACTACCGATCTCGCTCTCCTCATCCTTAACAACGTCTATGCCGTCAACTGAATCTCCATCTTCCTCTCCTGATGATGATGAAAGCGGCGCGGTCTACCAGTGCAAGCTGTGCAACCGGACATTTGCGAGTAAGCACGCTGTTAAACTTCACTTGAGCAAGACACATGGGAAATCCCCCGAGGACCATCTGATGTATGTGTGTGAGCTGGAAAAACAGTAGCACTGGCTTGGAACGATGCAAGACTTTTACAATGCAGCTCAACCTACTGCTGTGCCACTCTTTTGAGTTAAAACTAATGAAACTGCACAAAGATGCCATTAAACTACTGCTAAGAGTGTTGGCACATTGTTTTGTTTTTGTTTTTTAAACTTGAGTTTTTTTTTTTTGTTTCTTCTTGTTTGAGTTACATGTGAGGAAGACCTACTGCAGTCCGAATCTCTTGATTTAACCTCTCTTCTCTGACTAAAATAGATTCATACTTGAAGCATTTTTAACTAAAAAGATAAAGTTAAATGAAAGTATAAAATAAATTCTAAAATGGCAAAATGAGTTTTTTCTCTATTTAAAAGAAATTAGGTTTATTGATATTTTGGCTAAGCTGCATGCATATCAGTAAAACAATTTTGTTAAATATTTTATACCTACATCTGGTGCAATTTGTATGTTTTGTGTTTTTGAACTCCTGTCTGCGTGTTTTTTTGTTTTGTTTTGTTTTGTTTTATCCATGAGTCAACATTTAAAATCAAACCTTGTGCGTACTTCAAAAGATAAAAATATAAGAACTACTGTACACTGTTTTTACATTGCTTGTTTTCTAAACATCCGCAGTGATGAGTGTGAAATCCCAAAGTTTATTAAAAAGAGGATTCTTATCTAAGTGTCAGAATTTCACCCGAAGCTTAATTTTTTTTTTTTTTTTACTGGAAAATGCTAACAGGTCTTAATACAAACATTGTATGGAGAAGAAATAAAATGTAATATTTTGCTTTGATTGATCAGGGACCTATATAATTCAGGTCTATGTACTATATGTAAATAATAATAATAAAACATTCAGTTAATTCCTGTTTAAATTATGCATCATTTCTATATTTTTTAAGTTAAAAGGATTATGACTATTTGCTAGTGCATACTATATGAAGACAAACTTGTTTTGCACAATAGTTTTATAAATGTGTTATGTATCTGAAAACACAACAAAAAGGGAGGTAAAAGTGCAAATGTTTTTATTCCCAGCTCATGCTCAAAAAATTAAAATGTTCTTTTTTTTGAGGAAAAAAAGAAAAGATCTGAAACTGCTCTACACAAGCCCCCTGTGTGAACACTAAAAATATTAAAAGTTGTACAAAAAAAAATCTTACTTTACGAATATATTTCCTGTATAAACTGTTATTTAAAAGCACTCTTGGTTGTTTCATATTGTTGAATGCCTATTTGATTGGTCCTACTTTTTTTTTGTTCTGTCTAATTACTCTGCAGTGATTCCACACTGCAGCTTTATCTTTTTGCGATATGAAAGGTAACCATGGTTACACTAACCTCTTGAGTGACAAGTTCTGCTACATTTTTTGGCAGTTCATTTGCTGAAGTAACTGACATCTGCCAGAGAAATAATAATAATAATATAAAAAAAAGTACTTATGTGTAAAATATCGGCATGTAAACAGCACAGACACTGTTATGCATTCTGTGCTGTTTGTCTCTCTCTCTCTCTTTCTCTCTTTTCCATTTCATTCTTTGGTTTTCTGTTGTTGTTGTTCTTGACAATGAATCCCCATTATATGACTTCGTATAACCTTGTTTTCTACTGCAGCATTAAAAAAGAAACTGTTTTTTGCAATAATGTGCGTGTGTACATTCTGTGTGTCATGGCTATCAATTAGGTGTATGCTGTGCAGTCCCTAATGAGCACATTAGACTGGGAGTGTGTCAGCGTCTGCCTGTGACGAGCTGCAGACTAGTTTACAGTGAGTGGCAGCAGCGGGGCCGTGTGGGACACACACACACACACACGCATGCAGCCACACACACTTATATTTAAACATGCAAACAGAAACCATGATTTTTGACATGCCTGTAGCTTTCTCTATTGTGTTAGTAACTTAGTCTGTGAGATGCCAACAGATGCCTTCTTAGACACCAAGTCATAGGTAGATAGATGGATAGATGGACGGAATGACGGACAAACACATAGATAGATTGTATCAAAAGTTTGTAACGTCATTATTTCGTAAAATCTAAAAAGCAGATAAATCAGACTTTTAAAATTATTCATGTGACATAAAATTTTTGCAGACGTAGTGAAGGATCCTGAGAACCATAACGACAGCAGCAGACACAGGATATTGGGATTTGATCTCCCATTAACATTACACATAATACCACCTAAACATTTTTTCAAATCTTCATAATGTCATATGTTACGATATTTCATTCTGGTTTTGTTGCAGTTTCACTTATGAAGTTGCTCCTTTAATTAAAAATAGTTTGAGGATTATCGTCTCTTTTCATTTGTGAATTCCACGAGCAACATTTTCTAACAAAGTAACTTTTTCTTAACGTAAACTTTGAGTTGAGGTTCTGTTTTATTTTTATTTGAGCAACATTTTACACTGGTAACTTTACTTTTATTTAATTAAAATATTATCGAAGTAACTGTTTACGTGAGTGCATTCTTTTTGTACTCTGTGATTCAAACCCAAGACCCGGCGGCTGCACATGTTCACCATGATTCAGTCACACTGCAGTCAGTGAAAATCATGAGTTAGAGACTTAGACAATATGACAGGCTGTGCAGACAGACACCAGGTCAGGTATTGCAAGTTTTCATATCATATACAAACCACTGTGTACAATATGTTCATAAATCATATTTATAAAAACATCAATTCAAAAATGGTTGGAGATAATGATTTACACATCATCCTGAAAACCCATCTGTGTGGGTTTAACCAGTTGGGTTGTTCAGTGTAAAACTAAAAGGTTTTTTTTTGTTGTTGTTTTTTTTGTTTTTTTTTTCCCCAACTATGGATTTCTTGCATGAATTTAAGATCAAAATAACTTCAACACTTCCTTTTTTTATTTTGCAAAAAATGTTTTGCAAAACTTTGACGAAACACAAAACATTTTATCTGACATACAGAATCTGTTCAACAAATTATAATATTACTGAAAAAAAAATCAAGAACTTGATCACTAAATTAAATACATTACATAGATTATTGCACAGAGATGGATTTTTGAAAGACTTTATTTCTGTTAGTGACGAAAATTTTCCACTTAAAGTTAATAAAAACGAAACATATTTAGTAAAATAAATACATCATTAAAAACATTTATTACAGAAATCAAGTATCTTCTCTGCTTCACTGTAAAATCAAAACCAAATAATAACTTCTCTGGATTACATGAGAAATGAATTCATAAGGACCTGAATGGTTTCCAAAAGATGCATTAAATCTGTCGATTAGAGATGAGAAGTGAATTTATAGATAAAAAAGATCTCTCTTTTCTACAGGTTAACGCAAAAACATTCTAATGAATGTGGAAACTACACACATTACATATGCAAACAGCCTCAATAGCACCCAATCTACAGGTCTGGAAACCTCCACATACACACACTTAAAACACAAAGAAGGCACTCACACACACACATGCACACGCACACACACACACGCACACCCCCCACACACATTTTTGTCAACAGCCAGGTACAGGGACTTCATCCACAGTGACAAGGTGCCACAGTGTGTGAAAATGTCAGCCTTCAACAGTGCTGCCTGAAGTCTGGCACCGTATTTAAGGCTCTCATTAGCTTCAAAGAAAATATGCATTAGACTGAAGTGTAAAAAAGCCATTTTCTCTCTTGCAGTCCTCACAGCCATTGAACAAAAGCAAGGACTTATTAAGGTAAGAAACAAGCCAGCAGGAAGCAGTCGGCACACCACTGGTTCAGCTTACAGTCAAGGAGTTACAGAAACCTATTCATGATGTGCCCTAAAACGTCTCGTCAAGTACACAGAAAGAAATGAACCCAAATCACTGATATCGTATATGTTAGAAAAAAAGATGTATAATAAGGTTACTAATGCTACTTTGTTTTAGCATCAACACTTTGATTAGCGCATGAACAATACTCAGATTACATCACAGGTGATCTTAAGTTTGCCAAATAAATTGACTTATATTGGATTTTGAGAAAGTGCTAAATTTATGTTTGACACAAGTGCAACTTCCTTCTTCATGAAATGCAAACTGGAACAGAGCAGGATCAGATTTTTAGTAGTTGGAGGATTTCTCTTTGTATTGGTTAAAGACACTGAGACATTTCTCCCTCCTCTACTGAGCTTTGGATGGTGCTTTCACACCTTCCCAAACGAAAAGGTCGAGTTTGTTCTAGTCAAACAAACTGTAGTCGGATTAATGTGCGCTAAACAGGACTGGCGTGAATGCAGCCTTTATCAAACTGATTCATCAGTAGTGAACCTTTCTCGGGCACACAGAAGAGGTCATGGTCACTAAATAACCCCATCAACAAAAAGCAAAGCTCCTGAGGTTCCCAGAGAAAATCTCTCTTCCCCCACTCCAGGACTGTGGTTTGAGATCTACTCTGTGAGCAGAAGAAACCGAATTAAAGACAACAGGCAACCCTGGCAGAGTTCAACCTGAACTGGAAACAACCTCCAAATATTTATTCAGAAGAACATTGCTGTATGGAATTTTCAGGTGAAGAAAAACTGAAACATTCAGGCGCTTTAAAAGATTCAATAACACTTAATTGCTTAAAGCCGGCTCTGCCACTGAACACTGGTGATATAACATGAGTTTGGGAGAAGGTTCGGTCTGCTAATGTAACACATCTTCTTTGTGGTTCGCACAATGCAGCCGTCAGAATCTCCGAGGGACACGGTGAGAGACTCTGCCACAGTAAGCTGCTTACACACATTTGCAGAAGGTGTGCTACCGATTCAAATGGCTTCATCTAAAACAGGACTGGTGGGAATACAAGCTCAGTGGAGCCACTCCTCACAATGGAATCACAAAGCATAACACAAATAAAGCCAAGGTACAAGCAAACACACTCCTTCCACAAACACACACAGGAAGAATGCCCTGTCCATCCGAGTTCCTCTTGATTTCTTTTTTTAATCATGTTCCCTTTCCTTCCATTCTGTTCTTTATATAAGAACACAATACCACAGTCACAGACACAGAGTTTCCCTATTGACATAAGGCTCACAAGGCAATTGCTCATTGATTTACTAAACATTTTAGAGTCTATGGCTAGTATTAACAGTTTAGATTTTCTTACTCCATTTAGCATAAGAAAACTTGATATGCTAATATCCCTTTTGAGATTATTTTCATAGAAAGCATTTAAGGGCCATTTCCAGTTTTGGCAATAATAATAAATGAAATAACAGGTTATTTTATTTATTTGAAGCTGTTATATGATATATACAGATATTATATATTTTCATCTCTTCTATATTTCCAAAGCTAAATCTCAGAGAGATGTCCGATTTTAAATAGATATACAAAAGAAGACCCGAATATAAGCTATTGTCATTGCAGTTCCTACAATAAATTATTTACTTAACAAAACATCAGAAATGCAAACAGACAGAATAGTTTGGTATCAAAGTGATAAATCCCTCCAGTGTTCAGAACCACCAACTGGTGTTAGGGTGTTGAGAAATTTCACATTTATTGAGAATGAGCTCAAATTTCAGTGTAAGCAAGTCAAACTCATTTCATTTAATCTCAAATCATAGGTAAATATACTTTCTCAGTGTAATTCCTAGTTGGAACATAAGTTTGTCTGCTCATCTATGTTTCATGGCTTTGTGTTAGTTTCAATGTTACACACGAAGACTTATCGCAATATATTGTACACCGTTGTTTTGTATCTGGATTTTGCTTTTTCTTTACACAGCATTTTGTTTCTAATATATCAAGGGCAGAATTGATCTAATTCTCTGTTTTGGGTCTTTAAAGCAAATGATTGTCAGAATAGCTGCCAGTTTAACCTACGGTCAGCGCATTCAAGTGTGTTTGGATTTTGCTTCAAATTTGTAAAAATCCAACATTCTATATTCATTTACTATATTCAGTGAGAAGAGCTTTGCTGCTTTAAAAATTGAGAACAAAAGCAAATTTCACAACAATCTCGTGCTGTCATTCAGGTACAGCTTGGCATATAGTTTCTGTCGTGATGGCCTATCCTGAGATTTAAGTTTGAAGTAACTTGGCACTGCCAGGAACCAAGACAGCAATACACTGTGCTGATGTATGTAACATGGAGACATAGAGTACACAGCACACACCCGGATCCTGCCCTGCAGGGAGAAAACATTGCTGACTGTTCTCCAGTAAGTTGCAGGTTTTTTAAAGTTCCCTTAGATAAAAAAATAAAAAATAAAAATCTTACCGCCTCTCATGATTCATTTTAAAGTATTTGTAAACAATACTTCCCCTAGTGTTGCCCTCAGGTCATAACGTTTCCTGTTGTTTTCCAGAGTGCTAGAAAAAGAAGTGATCTCATTTCAGGTCCTATCAGAGAAACGTTTAGTAAAACTTGACTCAGTGCATGAAAAGTCAGTTCAGTTCCTCCATTACAATAAATAGGAAAATCATCGAAAGGTCCAACCAAGGCAAAATATGCACAGGAAATAATTCAGAGATTTGATCAGGTCACTTTCATTCTTTTCATTTTTTTCACACTTCAGTGTTTCAGCGGATCAAACCAATTTAAGCTTTAGTCAAAGACAACATGCAGATTTTTTTTTTTTAAAAGAGAAAAAAATATAAACCTACATGGTGTTACAAGCACAA